TTTTACAGGTTGGTCAGTTTTCTCTCCTCTCATCTCCAGCCCTTGCCAGGAAGCCAGACAGTTTAGTCACTGTGATTATTACTGTTGCCATATTTTAAGGATGAGAGAAATGCTAAGTGTCTTCCCAAGGTCAAAATCTAGACAGTGTTGGTTTCTGAGCTTGGGTCTCCAGAGAGCAAGATCTTCCCTTCCAGGAGGGCTCTGTCCAGCCCCTCACCCACAGGAAACTTGCTTCTCCAAACATAGAACAAACAGAGATAAGTGATAAAAACCAACAAAAATATATTCTATAAGCCTTAGATAACTGTGGGGGCCATGGCAGCCCCAACAAGGGATTTAGTGAGGGCTCAGGCCCAAGAGACCTTGATGTAGGGCTCACATCCTGGCATCACCGGGTGGGATGTTGCAGCACTGGCCTGATGGGAAGATAAACACAGAGTCAGGACATGGGGGCTCTCCCTAATATCCACCCCACTGCTCACAGTCAAGTCCCTCATCTTCTGAAGGCAGAAAAAAGGAGAGGGCTGGCACCACAAGTCATTGCAAGGGCCCTTAGGGGGCACTAGGTGTTACCGACCCCACTGCACTCCTAATACTCCACTCAATCTGATTCATATGGGACTGAGTAAAAATTTTTAATTAAAAAAATTTACTTTTAAACATTAGAAACTACTGGACTAATCTCAGACCTCATTAGTGGCTGGGGAGGGTAAGGGACTGTCCCAGGCTAACCAGCTAGTTAGCAGTGCAGTCTTTTCTCTTGGTCTATCCAGGGACAACTGGGTGTGCTCTGAAGCCCTGTGACCTGGACCCTATATCCTCCAGGTCCATAATCCCACTCCTTAGGCTCCAAGAGCTTCAGCTTAAGGGCCAGCCTGACATCGGGGGCTTCCCCCAAAATATGTGCAACCACAGACTCCCATGTTTCAAAGCTCAACCGATACTCCTTACCTTCTCTAAGGGTGCAGACTTGCCACACCTTGGGAGGGCCTGAGTTACAGACTTGGGCCCAAGGAAATCTTTTAAGATGTAATGTTGGCCCTCAGGTGGTGCCCTGCTCCACCTGAAGGCACAGAGCCTCTGACATGTACCTGGGAAGCAACACACCAAATGCAAGAAGTCACTACCCACCTTGGTCTGGTCTCGCTGACCACTCTCACCCCTCAGCTGGGAAAGCACAAAGCCCAGGGCTCTCATCCAGGAGCCTTATCCAGGCTGCCATTCCCATCTGCCACATTTCTTTGGGCAAGAATCTTAAACACCAAGGAAGAATGAAATTCCCAGAAACTCCCAGAGTGCCCTGGAGAAAAGCC